ACAGGCACCCAACCACAAAGCCCGGAACCTGGAGCAGCACTTGCTGTTCTGATAGCATAACTTGCACTCCTCACCTTTCTGAGAAAACTTCAACAGGATTTACTTATCCGAGCAGGCTCTGAAGAACTAAGTGGGGTAAAATGACACTACCAGAAATCCCGTCTGGAGAAAGAACTGGATATCTTTATATGCTGACAGCATTCTGGGAAGAAAGCTACTAGTTTGGGCTGGAAGAGGTGAGAGATGCCCAATGGCTGAAGTCAGTCTTGGCCTGAATTTTACAAGACTTTTGCAGCCGAAAGGGAGCTTAATGATATCTATTTCCTTTCTTTGTCATTTTATAGATGAGTAAAGTAAGGCCAGAGGTTAAGTCACTTGCCCAAATTAATGCATCTAGCTACTGAAAAAAAAAAAAAAAAGAAAGAAAATCATCAGGATTTAAAAATCCGAATCCCCAAGAGAGTATCCAGTGCTTTCCCTGTGAAGCATGCCACATACGAACAAGTAAAAGGCCTCCAGAAGGACCTCCAGGTAGGGGAAAGGTGGGAAGCCGTAATCAGCCTGTCCTGTGGCCTGGCCATCAGGGAGCGGGAGCTGGGCTAGGCTGGGGCACAGTGAGATGGATCAGTAGGGTGGGGCCACACCAAGTCCAATAATCCGGTTTTATCCTCAGGAACCTTGAGCACTGCTAGGATGAAATTGATGCCTTGTGATCTTTGACTCCTCACATGACAAGCTGTTAAAACCTTGATGATTCACTACGTAACTATATATTTTCTTTACATCTTGAAAAACATGCTATTGAGGGACCTAAATTAGCCCTATTAAACTGGTAAGCATACTTAAGAGGATCAGACATAATTTAATAATTTAATATGACATACTTTAATGAATTCAAAGTCTAAACTCTGTGGCTTTAAATTTCACTTCTGTCCCCTAAATAGTGAGCAAAATTTCCACAGAAGCTAAGAGTCTGTGTGTATAATGAGAGGCCATCAGATCAGAGGTAGAATTCCAAGAGGTTAAATTGTTCTGGCCCTAAGCTCAGATCCTAGCCCACAAGTGCATGGCATTGGGAATGTCCTGTGAAGTGTGGGAGCCCCCAGAGCTGTGTAATGGAATTCTTAATGCTGTCAGGAAACAAGGAGCAGTTTTTCTTTTATGAGCGGGAGCAGGTAATGTAGAGTCCTAAGTGGGCAGCGCTAAGTGCACCAGCTGCTGTCAATCAATATTCTGACCATTAATAGTCATTTAAACTTTTAGTCCAATTTAAATGCACATCACTATGGCTTATATTCTAAACCACTTATGGATTCTGATCCTTCAATTTTGAAATAATGAGAGCCGTAAGATGTCACGAGACACAATTACACATTACTGTTCCTGGTGAGGGAAAAAATATTGATATAATGCTGCCGCTACTTTTAAAAGCATCCTGTAATCCTTAATACCAAGAGAAAAGTTATTTTTCATATAGTGGATTATTTGTATTTGGAGTAGCAGATTCACCTCCAAAGAACAGAGTCCAACCAAGCTACACACATATTTTAAGGTTAACAACTTGGAAATTGTTTCTAATAATAAGTAAAAGGGCAGTTAAAAGTTCTGTTTGATCACTTGTTCTCTCATTTTACTGTAACCGTTCATGTCCTGAGGCCCTGCTCCCTAAAACATTCTAACTGGCATCCCCGGTAAAATGCATGAACATATATTATGTTTTCTAAAGGATATCTGAAATGTCAATGGAATACCAGCAGAAAGGCAGATGGCAGACCGGGCTGAGGTATTACAGGAAATTCAGTGTTTTAGAAAAATACGTATGGTTCTCGATACAGAGGAAAATGACACAGTTTACAATGAGCTGATGAGAGCAGGAGCAGTGGTCAGGAGAGGAGAGGAACTGTTAGCCACATTCACTGATAAGCATTGGATACAGGCCGCAAAATCTTAGAAGATGTTTCATTACAAGTGTATCTATCTGTAAATTGGAGATGACCGACGTACAGTTTACTCTCAAATGTTCATCTCCTTTAAAGAAAGAAACTTTTAAAAGTTTAAATTTTAACCATGGTTTTGTTTCTTTTCTTCCCCATTGATCATCACCATGACCCCGGCAGGACCCCTCCAGAACTATGGGTTTTATCCTCTGATGATGAAGGGGTTTGCATAGTCTCATTCTGAAATTTCACTCTGGGACTTCCTAGAAAATAGAATCTATCTGGCGATTCTTGAAAGCACAAACAATATGAGGATGCATCTAGATCTCACAGGCACAGCCTCTCTCCAAGGTGACCGTTGAGAGATCTGACTTATTTTAAAATATCTTCGGCATCTCTTGGAGACGGCGATTGAATTCCAGCTCAGCAGCTAAATACATAACCTCTACCTCTCTGAGACTTTGTTTTTTCACCTGTGAAATAAGGATACTAACCTTACTTGTATGTTCTACTTCCTTATCTATGAATTTCAAATTCATTTATAGCTACTAAACAATGTATTCACTAGGCATCTCCTTTCCCCTTATCATTTAAAAATGTTTATTAGAATGTCCTGTCTTGTTTCTCTGTTGTAATTTCAGATTATTTTATTACATCACTGACAGAAAGTCCCTAATAAACATTTCATATATAACATTTAGATAATCCCTGAAGAAGAAGAAATATGAGATGTCACTAACACCCTCCATATAGACCATATCAGAGACTATCAGTGAGGGCTCTTCTAAGATAAACATGACCTTATTAGACACGAGGATGAGCACAAGCACATGGACCTTGCCAGGAGTGGCTGTTCAGTTTTGAGGAAGTTACTTCACTTCTCCAAGATTTAGTTTCTTCCTCTGTATAATGAGAGGGCTGGAAAAAGTAACCTCTAAAATACCCTCACATTCCAACAATGATAATTCTATGCCAACAACAACAAAAAAATTAAACAACAATAAAATAAAAGTCTTTTCATTGATTGATGCAGCTCAGGATAACTCAGGATAATCAAAATTTTAGTAGTGGAATAGTGAGTGATATATATATATATATATATATATATATATATATGTGCATGTCTTCATAATTTTTATAAAACTTTTACATTGTACCATTTCAGAACTTGCTTTCAATAACTTTCACATAAAAAAAATTGAAAATGGAAAGAAATCAGACAGCTCAACTTACTACCACCGTCATAACCTTAAGCCTAAACTGCTTTAAGAATGTCATTTTAAAGACATGCCCTCTCGGCTATTGTGCAATGCACTAACACTTGGTGAGTCAACCACAACTTAAAATTTCATGGAGTTTTTCAGGATTAAAGGTAATCTGAAATTTTTCAGGTTCCAAATGAAAGTTACATTTATGTGCTGTGAGTACAAACTATGTTTTAATTTTAATTTACCAAATGAAATCAAAAGCCTTACAGAACAGTATCTCAATTACAGATAAACTGAAATTGGTAAATGAGTCATACATAGTTCAAGCAAATTCAGGGCTATAAAGAAATCCTTCCCTCTAATAAAGATTTATAATTTTAAAGTCTGTGTTATTTTGCTAAACCATATTTAGCCCTTTAATTTAATGTCAAAGATTACATTGTTTCTGGCTTCTCAGATTACATCCCATTTCCTCACTGATTATTTGTTAGCCACGTCAGGAGAAAGACCCCGGTCCATTGATGATGGAGAAGCAGCCTCCTGCTTTACATCTGATGACAGAACTTCCTTTCTGTTTGACTACTTCTCTTCAACTTGACTGTAACATTTCCCCCTCAAGTGAGAGTTTTGTCGTGTGATTCAAGACCCTCAACACAAAGGAATTGAACTCTGCGCTCTGAACGGATCAGCACATCAGTCTCCTGAAAGAAATGACACTGCTTAGCCTGAAACTTCCTTTCCTAGCCTAAGTACCTCCCAGTGGAAGCCAGTTAAGGCAAAGCATTTCCTATGGCCTTTGTCATGACTCCACAGTGCTATCATCAGGACACCATGTGTCAGCATATACAATGTCAGCATATACCGTTCCCTGAACCTCAGGGCTGTAAACGCTTCAGGACTTCCAAAAGGAGGGAAGAAAAAAACAGTCCAAGTATAGTGTTTGGTATGAATTTTAGCAATGCCTCACTTGTTTCCATTGTTTTCGAGGTTCCATAATCAGGCTAAGATAAAAGTGATAAAATGAACTATTTCATCAATAAGATCAATTTTAAAATTACTAGTGTCTTGCATTTTACTTTCAAAGATGAGGGTACAGCCGGGACAATCTCTGTCACATTTTATTAAACTTTCTGCAAGGAGTGGCATGGTGAATTACACAGGAAGGTTAACACCGCGGGAGCTTAAGATGTTAAACAAATGCATTTCCATCCCCCACCCCAAAAAAGATACATAGCACATAATATTAATGATGACAATTACAAATTAGAAAGTCTGAAATCCGGCTAAGAAATAAAAAGTATAAAGAAATATAAAGAAACTCTTGTGTACTGTAAGAAAAAAAAACATTGCTCATATGATTTAAATGGATTTGAGCACAACTATTCCAATAGAAGAGCTGGGGTATGTTTCTGCAAATTTTCTCCTTGAAAACTAGTTGACTTGAGACATTTTTGTGATGTTATTCCTAGAACTTTCTAATGCCGGTCAGTCCCACCTGTTAGAGAAGGCTGCTCTCTGTGGCTGCAGAATCATCGCTTTCAAAGTCTATCCTTACAAACACAAACAGCTCCCCAGTTTGACTCCTCATATGACAATGGACTGCATCTGTCAACAGGCTCCAGCTTGAGGCTGCTGCCTGAGAACTGGACTGTGACATTTACACTGTGACAAGGTAAATTTCGGCAGCTTGTCTGGAAAGAGACAAGCATTCATTATGCCGTAGCACCTTTCATCAGGCTAATGACTTTTCAATCAGCACATTTTCTTCAGTTTCGGTACTTTGCAATCTGAGCACAAGTCTCTAATTACGCCCAAGCAACAAGTTTCACATCAATCCTACAATTTCTGCACTCACCGTACACCATCGCCCCTCCGGTCTCATGTAAGAAGCGGAATCGATGATTTTTAAATAACCAGATTGTCAAAATGGTAAGGATGAGCAAAAAATTGAAGACAAGCAGCTCCACTGCTCCCTCATGTTGAAACTGATACCTATCCTTCTCTGACACTTGCTGTCTTTCCATTCGCAGGTCTTCTTAGGATTCCTTCACTAGAAACCTGGAAAAGGGTTATTTTATCAAGATTTGCCTGGGGCAGTGTGGCTGCCTGAGGGCTTCAGAATAAACACAGCCACTTAAATTGCTACTCCGTGAGCATTCAGCCTTGGCTTAGCATTCAGATGGCTTCTAGTTACAACTTCCTGTTTCTCTCTTAAAGCGGCCCGGTCTCTTTTCGAACTCAAGAGTATGGTTTCATCATGGACTACTACTGTCTTAACACAATTCACTCTAGGAAATTATCTTTCATATGGGACAAACCTCCAAGCAATGATTCTGAGATCTTGAGAACAAACATGATTTCATTGTTTCAAACAATTCTCATTAAGCTGCCTAACTGGTGAATTGTAGATTAATAATAAAACAGATCACCTTACATCAGCAATATTTTCTAAGTTCACAAAGCCATTTCCTGAATCATAGCCTCACTCACATGTGAGATTTTTCTTCTTTGACCAAAGCCTACCACTGTGATGGGGATTAATAGCTGTGGTTTGACCTAAAATGATTTCACAGAGATTTTTAAAATTTATTTATTTATTTTTAAGTCGAGAAGAATTTAGTATGACTCTCTTTGTTTGGCTTTATATAATGGGTAGTCACAGAGCAAAATTTAAACTCTGAATCAATTGTTTTTCTTTTAACAAGAATAAAGGAAAGCAAAAGACAAAAAGAAAATTATGTCCCCATCTCTATAGCGGTGCTGTTTGGATATGTTAAGTCAAAAAGAAAAAAGAAAAAAAGAAAAGAAACTGTTTAGTATCTTTGAAGGAAGAAATCATTGTCATCCTCAGTAATGTCACATACGTGGACCTCTCTCAGCAGCGCTTCTGGCACAGTCAGGACCCACAGGAAGCTGCGGCCAACGACAACCTCTCCTGTCCTGTGGCCGAACAGTGTGCCTCACTGAGGGACAGTGTCACCAGCAATGCGGACGCCGGAATCACAGAGCAGACCTCAGCAATGGTGAGTCCTCACATCATCTTCCATTTGGCAGGCTGTTTCTGTTTGAATTCGCACTTTTATGTGTTTTGGAAAATTCAGGACAATATTACCACGGGCTCTGCTGCTTTCTTAACAGTGGTCATGATTTGTTTGCCTTATTGGCCCTACAGTGCAATTAGATACATCCCGGGGTTCAGTGAGGTTTGACATCATTTCATGAAATTATTGTAACTCAGGAGCACTAAATCATCTATCTAGTATCCCCATATGACAGAATTAACTTTGGTTATATAGTGTAAGTGATTCACTGAGTAGGATGAGTCCAAATACTCCTCAGAAGGTCTTGTCACCAAAAACTAGAGGTCAAGCGTGTAGTGTGTAGGAGCTGCTGGCTGCTCAATAGCAGTTTCACCCGTGGAGAAAGCCTTGAGCCACTTTGTGTAAAACTCTGCTGTTTCAGCTTCTTTGCCTTCTGCAGAGCTGGGAGCCCATTTCCTCTCCAGGTTTAGCTCAGCAGGGGGCATCTGTGTGGGCTGCAGATGTTCTTTTACCACCGCCCTTTTTGGCAGGCAGATCTGTGCTGACTAATATTCAAACTGTTTTGAAATCTGTCAGCTAATGCTTGCAAGCACTTCATGAAGCTACCAGTTTCTACCTTCCTAATTTTGCAACCCCACAGGTTTAGGCTTGTTAGATTTACAAGATAACCCAAATTCCAAACCTGACAGTGTCCTTTTTTTGGGTCATCATTTAATTACTTTGTCTCCTTTTAATAATGAAGATTACTCTGTCTGGGTAAAATAAACTTTCTTTGGTTGTCTCATTATGACATCCAGTTTCACTCTGAAGCAACTCAGTGAGAGGATTAAGAGCCAATGAAATGTCTTGATTGACTCACATTGTTTTCAAAAGTCCTAAATTTAATGTCAACATATTCAAATAAGCATATCCCTCATAAAAAATTATACACCCGGCTTCCCTAGAAAACACTGGTAAGATCTGGCACACTGGGTCTTCCTTCCCATGTGGCCACTACCTGTTAGGGCTGCGTAGTTGCCTCTTCCGTGTACAACCAGTTTGCCACACGTCTCACTCATCCTGTGTCACTCATTCACATTCCCAACACGGCCCCTGCAGCCATATGAACCTGTGGCCCCTGGTTTATTCCAGGAGTGGAATACATTCATTATTCTGTTGTCCTGCCCCTGTACTGCTTAACGTTTGGATGAAAAGTGGAGACGAGAAAGGGGTTCAGGAAATTTCTGTAATTCTTTCACCCAGAAAAGTATTTTCATTCCTTCTAGTTCGTGTTTTCTTGTCAGAATATCATTTTAGGTTCTGCGGTACCAGTGAAACTAGCTACTAAGGACCAGGAAATATGCTAGGAAATTTAATTTAGTCTAATTTAATATTCATAAACACCTTTCTACAGATGAGGGATTTAAGGTTCAGAGAGTGTTAGTAACATAGCCAAAGATGTACAGGTAGTAGGAATTAAATTCACATGTGGGGTTTAATGGTCTTAAGATGTGCTTTGGTTAGGGCGATCAATGCATCTTGGCTTGTCAGGGACTTTCCAGGTTTTAGCACTCAGTGTCCTGTCTCGCAGTCAAGCCAAACCAAGACAGTTGGTCATGCTAATAACAAAGGTTCCCAAATTTCCCAAATCCTGCACTGTCAATAAGAATTGCTCTTTATGAGACTTCTGAAAAGATATTCATTCAAGGAAGAATATTAATTAAAAATTAAGGCACTGTTTAATGAGCTGGTGAACATAACCCTTAACGCCAGGTTCTCTGATGATGTTGGGCTGGAACCCACAATGTAGGCACAAGGCCGAAAGAAGAATACTTGATTGTCACTTAATCCCAGTTTTAACACCTGTTGGCCACTGAGTCAAAGGTTCTTGCTGCAAGATGCAATATACAGGCAATAAAATGTTAAGAGAAAGCCTACTGCAGTGGGTATGCCCTGCCTCAGGTTCCCCTCAGCCCCATGGAAGGAAAAACTGAAGAGAGGAGCTTCCCAGGCCAGGTGGCCTCGTGTAGCACAGGAATCCCACCCACTGGTGAACGTGACCGGTTAGAACCCATAGATGGTGTCTCAGTATCGAACCAATCATTCGAGAGCTCCTTGTTTGTGAAGAGGACAGTGGAGATCCAGGCTCAGAAAATGGAAAAGGCAAACATTCTAGAGTGAGGAGAGATGCTGAGAGTTCCCCTTCCCCACTCCCTCAAGCCCCACCCTGCCCACTCTTAGTTCTCTCTCAGCCATTGGGCTTAACAGAAAATACCTGAGTCAACCCAGGCCTGGGTTAGAGGAAAATTCCATTGCTTTATTCACTCAGCCTCTTTCCTAATATTTATTCCTCTCTGAAACAGGTGAGATGAGAGTTTCATATTTCGTTCCCCAAAACTTCTGAAATGGGCCAGGACAGAACTATAATTAAGTTTACTTGAAGGCCACACAATGCACTAAACCAAAAACTACCCCCCCCCACCCCACCCCATTCTATTCTCAAACTTGCCATAAACCCATCTGTTACAGTAGTTAAGGCAGCCATTATCCTGGGCAGCTCTAATGCTTTGGTAGCATATGCAAGCAAACCAAAGGCAAGCCAGAGTCAGTGGCTCAAATCTGAGAAAGTGAAACTTAAGAACAGCCAACCCCAAAGAGCCAATTAAGCTTTCTTAAATAAGGCAACCACTTAAGCTATAGCCAATCAAATAATCTCTTTGCATTG